AAATTTGATTGATGGGTGCGTCTGACTGATATCATCCAGGAGAACTGAAACGTCGTTTCGTTCAGGTGAAACCGCGAATATATCATCCACGTAGCGTCCGTAGTATCTCAGACCATTGAGCTGGCGACTAAGCTCGAAAGCTCGAAAGAAGTCGCCGGATGCGAGGCAGCTTAAGTTTCTCAGCTAGCCATTTTGTTACCGCATGGTACGACGAATTTCTCATGTCTAGGATTGGACGAACAGGTGTACCATCTTTTTGGATCTTTGGCAAGCCATATAACCGAGGTACATGCGTGCCAACGGGTCGGAGACGCTCTAGATCGTGCTCGTTTATGAAACCATTCGCTTGAAGTCTTTTCAAGCACTCAGTCAATTGTGCTTCAATCTCATCCGTCCGATCCTTCTCCTTTTCTGCCTTGCTGAACTTTTCCTAGGCCGACAGGATTGACTGTATTTTTGTAATGTAGTCCGCCCTGTCCATCAAAACCACCCCAGTTCCCTTATCTGGTTCTGTTGTTATTGCTGTTGTTGGTCAAAATCCTGGTCAGGTGGTCGTTGTGGATCAGGGGATATCGAACGAGTCACTGTGCCTGCTCCACCTTACTATGGAGCACACGGTGGACATCGTCGAACACGACGATCGAAATATCAATTCGCATCTTTCTAACTGACCTGTCTGTTTCGCACCTCGCTTAAGTAATAAAAGGAACATACGGCGGAAATGCGAGTTTCCTCAATGCCTTCCGCAGGTTCTGTTAATTGTTGCGGACTTCTGCCCTATTGATAAAAAAATATTACCATCCCTCTCTGTGCTTTGTTTTCTCAGTTGGCTTGCAAGAATTGCAAGCCTTACGAGAATTTCCCATTGGTTTTAAACACCCCATAAATTTAGGAATATTTTATAGAAATCGTGGACACAATTAATCATTCTTGGACTTATCTGGTGAAGAACGTCTTTTTCGAATTTTATACTCGAAGACAGAGTGTTTTCTGGTTTAAAAAGGTTTTCAATTTCCGGATAATTTGAACTTTCACTTTCAGATCAGATTCAGATCAGGTAGGTGAGCGCCTTTGAACTCCCTTTTGGCTACAACAATGTCATAAAAAAACAATGTGCAAGGCAAGTATCAAAGAAAATTAGGTAAGTCATTGCATACAACAAGCATTGGTTACTGGTATAAGTTTGTCTGTGAATGTATTCTATGTCAAAATTGTACAATAACCAGTACCCGGTACTGAATGGACGAAGTAATATCGAAGCAAGCGCATATGCTTCGATCAGGAGATAACGAAAAGTCAAAACGTAATGCTACTTAAATATAGATAGTAGCATGCTTTATGGCGTAAAGATTTGGGACGGGTGGTACAGGAGGAAATTTGTTAGTTTCTGATGCCGTGGAGGTACGTATCCCCGTAGTGGTCAAGCTTTTTCATAAATGTGTCCACAGATGAGGACATGATGACGTCCGCAGGCAGGGCATTCCATGCCTTTACCACTCTGTGGCTGAAGAAGGACCTCCTTGCGTCCAGTCTCGCCCCTGTCACACGTAGTTCCAGAGGATGTCCTCTCAAGCCAGTAGTGGTGGCCAGCTCAAAGAAGTCGCCGGATGCGAGGCAGCAATCCTGACCCTGTGGCATTCGAAACGTTTGAATTAAATCGCCACGTAGTTGTCTGTAGTCCAGGGAAGGGAGGTTAAGATTTGACAGTCTAGTTTCGTAAGGTAGGTTTTTATGACCTCTGACAAGCTTGGTTGCCCGTCGTAGGACTATTTCGAGGGTGGTACGATCTTTGACAGACCAGGGTGTCCAGGCCTAAATGGCAAATTCTAACTGTGGACGCACAAACATCCCGAAGACCTTGCGAAAGCACTCTTCGCCGAACTTCGCAAATGCCAACTTGGTGAGATATAAGCTGGGCATTGCGGATTTCGCTGCTTTCAAGCAGTGGAATGATGGCTTTAGTGAAGATGTTATCCACACCCCTAGATCCTCCTGAACCTCTACCACTGGCATTGGTGTGTGATTTTTGGACAGGTTTTTGATGCTCCATGCTGTATGCTATCCTTTTAAGGAAAATCACACATTTCTCTACGCTGCGAAGATGACGTTGCATAGGGCTCTTGAAATTTTACGATGGATGCGGACCATGATGTATAAGTAGCGCTAATGATCACAATTGTGCCGTGCCGTACTAGTGAAAATTTTACGGTCTTAACAAATCTCATAATTGTAAACTTTTTAAACCCGAAATATACCCTTTTTCGAGTATAGAATTTGAAGAATACTTGGTTTGCTGGCAAACAAGAATGAGGAAGAATATTTTCAGTCCTTTTTTATAAAAGTTACTTGAATTTATAAAAGCATGGAAAATTAGAGCAGAAGTTGATACTTTTTTGAATAATCACTTTTACCGGGCGTGGTTCATACGGGTGGTCAGAAAGTAGCTCATTCAACAGTCAGCATCCTAGCGGCTTATGCTGCGGATAATGAATATTACAATCCTGTCTGGGTACGCCTTTCTAACCGAAAACACATTTCAGAACGTTGGTTAACATTCCATGAGAGTGTAAAGTGTGAGACAGAAGTCGACTGTAAGGATTTGAGCTGCCTTTTCTCCTTCT